AGTTTTCAAAAATCTATTTTTGTAACATCCCATTTATTATTTTATTAAAATTAATGTAACAATTAATCAATTAAACAAAAAAAACTATAATTATAAATGAAACTAATTTGAGATTATTTTTATTAATTTTGAAATTCTATTTATGTATATTAATTGTTTTAATAAATTTAAAAAATAAATAGTTTTATCATTAAGGTTTATATAAATAATATAAGTATGTTACATATATTTAAATCACTGAAAAGATTATTTTTATTTAATTTCCAAATGTACAAACATACTACAGTTTAAATACAGTCAAATCAATTTGATATTGAATCATGTTACGTAATTTTATAGCCATATTATTTCTATAAAATGTATTGTTACGCGCATATGCATTGTATGTCAATAGATGAAATAAATCGTTTAATGATTCAATGATACATTTTCTTACTCTTCTCTAAACAATTTTAATATAGATTCATAATTATATTCCATATACAGATTGTAGGTCACTATTTCCTCAACTATTATTTTAATTTTTAATGCTGACTTGTCATTAGCTATTTAGTTCTCTCAACTCAAATTAAACTTTTCACGAACCCATTAATATTTTATTTGGCATCGTGAATAGTAAATAATAAATAAATATACCACTACAATAAAACTTTTTTATATGAAAATTTAATACAAAGACATTTGATCAGAAACTCAAAAGTTATTTAAGGCTTATTAAGTAAGTTCAAATATAATTTATTTTGAATAATTTTAATAAATACAATTACGATACAATTATTCATCTTTATTGCATTATACTTTATTACAACTATACTTTTATTACAATATTATTACTTATTTCTATTATTATGTTAAAAATTCTAGAAGAAAATCTAAAACTTTTAGTTTTCTACGAGTTAACGTATACTAATGGCAGAGTTGATTTCTACCCCGAAGTGCGCAAAATCGCATTACATCGCTACTTATTAGTTTCAATTCGATATTTTGTCATGCACTTCGAAGAAGTTAGAGACTTGAAAATCCTCTACAGAGAGTAAAACTTTTGAAATAAAGATAATAAAAATGTAGGTTAGAATATTAGAAAGGTAAGTAATAAGAGTAGTAGAACATTTTGAAAGCGGGTAAACAGCAAGAAGCAAATTAGCGGTTAATACGTTTGTTTCTCATATATGAAATTTTTTGAATGCTTTTACCATACGAATTTATCTACATGAAATTACTCTAAATGTTGATCTAACTGTTGCTCATGGTTAATGATATTTAATACTAAAAATGTAAACATTTATAGTGCATACCATAGTGCACAGCTACAATATATTGATTTGATATGTATATAGTTGAAAGTTTTCATTTACTTTATTTGTATATAATTTATAGAATTATAGAAATTCTTTATAAATTATAAGAATTTTATTTTTACTACTCTGCGAACTACTCTAGTTACTCTATAAATATTATATCTATATAGAACATTATTAAAAATGATATAAAATTATATAATAAATTTTACACTCCAATACTTATTATATTTTTCGGTAACAATTATATGATGAAATAAATGTTGTGCAGCAGATTATAAGTCGAATAATTGTATATTAATCATTTATTGTACTTTAATTTTATTAAAGATACATATTTCTATATCCTAATTATGATATAATCTTTTTAAAAATGCTTATAAAATAAACTATACCTGTGTTATTTTTTAATGAAATGGAATAAAATATTTTTAAAAAATACAAATTTTAACTAACGTATTTTAAAATTTAATTTACTTTGTTTTTATTAATAATTTATATTCTGAAATTGTGTATAAATTTTTTGTAGTTATAATGATTATATTGAAAACATATTGAACAAAAAAGATTCCTTATACAACTAAATTCATTTTAATTGGAAATTATAAGACATTGTTTATACTAAATTTGGAATACCTGATATTGCAATACTTATTTTAATTATTATTATAGAATAGTTTAGTTTATATATAATAATGTAAAACTTAGTCCTTTATATCTAGGAACCAAAAATGTGGCTAAAAGAATAATAAAGGATATAAAATATAAGATTCCAAAATATACTTATAATAAAGCAAAAAGAACTTTTTTAAATATTGTAGAATCCAAACTTGAAAACTTAATTCTATAGTGAATTATATAGTTGATGTTGCAATTTCGAAAATGATGCTCCAGCTACTACTTCCGTGTATCCCTGGGCTGCACTTCATTTGCTATATAATTTGTCTTGATACATAGCAAAATCAATTGACGAGGTAAAAAGATATATAACACATCAACAGTTCGATATACGTTGCATGATCTCTTTACTTTATTTTATGCACTTATATAGAAGAGGACAAAATGAAGAAAAAAGAACAAAATATGGGTCATTAAATAGTCAGAATGACGGTACAGTATATATTGCAGTTTTCAAAATTGGATGTAGCTGCATATATAGCCACATTTTTTTCATAAGTTTTCATAACATTCATCTTCTCATATTTCGAGCTTTTTTCGTTTCATACTGATTCAAATTACTATATTTTTCTGATTTTTTTTTTTTTTCAAATGTAGTCTGAGTATTTTAAATGGGATATTCACAATGATATAGGTTGTTTATAAGAATGAAATTCAATTTTCAAAGTCGATCTTCCCCTCATACCATTAAATTTTATCTAAATTATGTTAACAATATAATTACTGTTTTATAATTATTTGTTAAAATTGTTTCGATTTAATATTCAAAATATTACATCAAATATTACAAGAGCTATTAAACTATTTATAATGTCGTTTTTTTGTAAATACCTGATGTACGTAATTTTTTTCTTTGGAATTAAAAAAAATTATAAAATTTTGATCAAATGAATATAGTATTTTGTCAATTTATGATAAGATAAATTTTTTTATAAATTTTTAGTTTTTTAATAATTAAATTTTAAGCCTGTATAAAAAAAATGTATACTTATTGTATTAAATTACATAAAAAATGTTAGATAACATAAGATTTCCGTTAGTATAAACAAGGTCATTGATAAACCTAACAAATGAAGGAACACCACATTTAATATTAAAGAATGACGGTATCGGGTTTTCCAACGAGAAATAATATCGGTTGACATTAAGGAAGTCACACGGGAGTTCGAATAAGAATATATATCCTACAGACAAAATGATAGTTATACATATATATTGTTGACCTCTTCAATAGATTGAATGGAAAAAACTTTTGAAAAAGAGAATAGATTTCACTGAGTACTGATTCCCCGCCGAAAATTCTGCTACGATTTTACTTCCACTCACTCTTTGTTTTTCTCTTTATTCCTTTCAGCACCGATAATTCTGGAGCCAATCCAAAGTACTCGCATAATCCTATTTAATTTAAACGAAAGACATGATAATAGTTGAAAGCTTCGAATTTTAAACTAAAGAAGGATAAAATGGTTATAACTTGGTTATCTTAGAAAACATCAAAAGCAAATGTATTATTGATCTTTTTCTTATCTTATACATCCTTTATGATATTCAGACTTATTTTTTGAGATTCTGCATAAGATTTATAATAAATTAATGTAACGGGTTATCATCAAATTTTATTTACCTTGTAAGATCCTTTTCGTCCATATTGTTTTGTTAATATTAAAATATATTTATATTTTATTATATTCAATGTTTCATATATTTTTTATTTAATGATGTATTACCAATAAAGATATTAAAGATATAATATATTTAATATTTTATTTGATATTTTTCCTTACATTAAAATAAACTAGTGTCGAACTCTATAAAACGTATTCTACATTAATGGCGCTCAATAAATAATATTTATTATTATATATAAATATATTCATTAAAAATTATTCATTAAAATATATATATATATATATATACATTAGAATTTAATAACAAACAAGAATATTAATTATATTTAAAAATTGGATAAATAACTAAACAAATTTCATAATAGAATATTTATAAAATAGATGGAATTTAACAAATATTAAGTTTAATTTTCTGGTTCCAAAATATAACGTTATTGTTATGCAGTGTTAATGCTTCAATGATTACTTGCAACATTCATAGCTGCTGGATATAAATGGCTGGGAAATAAAAAATTAGTTAATAATACAAGGTGAATTCACATGTGCACATACACACACATGCAAGAGATTACGCATTTTATATGGTGCGTAGAATGATAGAAAAATTTTCAATACACCATTGTTTATATATATACATAAGAAAGCAAGAATAGATGTAAATTGATTTATATAAACATTACAATATTCTAAAACATTAATGGGAGATACATAAAACAAAATAAAACTTATATATACATGTGTATAATTTATCACCAAAGAGAACGTTTTAAACACTGTTCATTTTCATTTTTCTCGTGACGTGTATGTATCACTGTATATACATCATAAACGTAGATACCAAATTACCATGAAATATCGCTAAAATATAATTTTAAAACAAAATATTAAATAAAAGCTTAAAACATCAAATAATTTGAAATGATCGATTAAAAATTATACGTCGGAGCAATTTTTTCCTAGTATGAACGTGATTTTTAAAATAAAACTTTTAATTAAATCTTATTATATTATACTATGAAACAAGATATCATATCAAAGTCAAAGAACAACTTTAAATGGGCTAATGAGATAAAATTACTCTTTAGTTTCGCAATTTTTTAGCCTCATCGATGACACTGCAAAGTGATCTTTTACTTATATTTTGCATATAAAGACATATTTAAGAAATCTAAAATAATTAAAAATCAATTATATTAAATATACAATGAGCAAAATTAACCATAGATAAGAAAAATAAAATTTTGTGGCGGGGTGTCGTTAATCATAGATATTTAAGAATTAGTTAAAAAGAGATTCGCGTTAAACGGGTAACAAGATATTTCAATAAAATGAACAACTAAAAGCTGTGTATGTATCAACGATAAATTCGTTTAACCGATTCAATAAAACCGTATAGTGCGGAGGAGGGTTTCGACGGGACGTTCCAAACAAATGTGGTGGTCACGCATAACGGCAGTTGCCTGTACGTCCCTCCGGGCATCTTCAAGAGCACATGCAAGATAGACATCGCTTGGTTCCCCTTTGACGAGCAACACTGCGAAATGAAGTTCGGATCCTGGACATACGACGGCAACCAGGTACACACTAGATACTCTCTGAAAAAAAACTGTTTCTACCAACACCTATCCATCTCTATATTTCTCTATATCTTCGTTTCTTTCACACATATTTCTATCTCTAAGAAACATGCATAGACGAAGCACTGAATTTTAATAATTTTTCATTATACACAAACTTTATTTATCACGAAACAATTCGAAATCACTCTGTCGCTATGCTCAATTCATCTTTTTGACTTTGTACTTAGAAGTCCAATTTCCAAAAAATCTTAACTCCAACATAACATAACAAATAACCAAAGTTATATACACTGACTTCCCCTCGTCTCTGAGATAAGAATCTATTTAAAGACAGAGTCGCACAGCACTCTATACAAGTCTGATAAATCTAATTTTAGTCCAGCGTTTCTAATCTTGTCATTCTTATCCTTATATTGCCATTCATTAATTTCATGGCAGTTGTGTTGTTATCAATAGCTATGAGGTCACTATAATATTAATGATGATAAGCATCTGCTAACGATTTGTGATATTTGTTTAATAAAATGCAAGCAGGAATATATTCATTTCATATTTATAAAGATATAATATTGATTATCAGGATTAACTGTCATTATAGACATTTAAAAGTGAATAACATATTGTTTAAATTGAACAGAGTTTAACTGCATAAATAAGGGACAGATATCGACCATTGAAGAATATTTCATATAATCAAATTTTTAATTAGTGTTCTGATAAAAATAATCTTTTTAAAGCGATTTATTATTGATTTTTTCATTAGATTTTTATATTTATTTATTTACAGTTTATACAAATTAATAGCATTTTATTTATCTTAGTGCTAAAATATAATAATTAATATTGTCCGCTATTATTTTCAAATGATATTTTCTTTATTTAATTAACTAGATGCACATATTTGAATGGCTTTAAAGGATCAAAATATTCACAAAATGTTTTAATATTTAATATTTAATATTAATATTTAAATAATATAATATTCTAAGAATAAAATTCTAATAAATCAAACAGAATATTTTTTATTTTAATTGGTTAAAATATCATGAAATTAGAATGAATTTCAATATTATCCTACGTAGCGTGTGCTCAATTTATACAGAAGATATTACAGAAAACTTTTCTCATAAGCCAGGATAGTATCATAATAGCATTTGAATTATAATAAAAATGTATTAAGTTACCAATTAATTGTTTAACCAATTATTGTTAGTATCGGAACATTACCGCGAAATTATTAACAAATATATTTACTTAAACAATTTTATCAATTTCAAATATTATCTTCTATTAAATTCTAAACATTAAATCTAGTAATAAATTCTAATTTATAATTAATCTAATTTAATATCTAAATATTCAATTTATTTAATTTCTATAAGACCGACAACTAATAGAGTCTTTATTGTTAATTATTAATTAGAGTTCAGTATGATGATATTACTTCTCAAAGAACAATTTTCATGATTGAATTTAAATTAAATACGTTCATATTGGTATTTGCAAGACTTCGAAAATAGTTTGGTACAATTTTTGTTACACGTATTCAACATGAATCTCAACATAAAGTAGCTACAAATATACACGATATATTCATGATCAGGAGATACTTAGTAGCTTATTTACATGCTCAAAGATTCTTGCCAATTCCCTACGGTAACATTTCATCCATTAATCGAGAACCAACGACCCACTTCTGTCCTATCGATAATTTTTCAAATCTTTGTAAATTTTAATTTATTACAAGACGACATAAAAAATCATCCATACTTCGACAAACAGTGGCGATGATTAACTATTACAATCAATTGGTTCTATCACGGTGATATTTTAATAGGTTTTCAATTTTCGAGGCGCAGGGGAAGTCAGAAAAATTAAGAAATATAGTAGAATGATTGAATGATAGAACCGATATTCGGAATTTTTCTATGTAACTTTCTACTATATATATATTCTTCAATCAATTACACTAAACAAAGATATCGTTATACAGTCAAAGCAGGGACCACGTGATTATGTCTGAGCTTGGAACCACGATTTTGCATGGAGCACATGTCTATCGTTGTTCTACTATCAACTCGGCGACTCTCATTATTTCCTAACCACAATTTATATTTCCATCAACAACTGTCCTATATTTCACAGTTTATTCGAGCAAAAAGAAAACTTCCTAGTATACTTTTATATGTGCCATGGGTTTGGAGTCCTTTAAATATTACTGCACAAAAATTTAATCTGCCATTTTTCTTTCTTTATAATTATAACATGTTGATAAATAGTAATTCTTAAAAATAATGTTTTTTAAGATTAAAAATATATAACAATATAACTAAATTTAAAATCAATTTATAACCATTATTCATAATCAAATTATTATTTTAGTTTATTACTAAAAGACTCAAGCGTACTGTAGTATATAATATTTTTACTATTTTTGATAGTGCATTTACTATACAGATTAAAGTGGAAATTTTTTAAAAAATTCAACAAAAGAAGTTAACTTTGAATTCAATTATAATTTATAAAATGTATAATATATGAAGCTAATAATTAAATTTTATAAATCTTAAATTTTTGTAATCATTTCCGAAATAGTCGAATGTAGTTCAGAATTTAAATTAACTATTTACAACTACTGCAATAATTAATATTCTATTAATGTATAAAATAAAATTAAATCATGCAATGAAATTAAGTAAACTAAATTGTTAATCAAAAGAGGTGCTAGACAAGTTACAATGTCAATACGTTATTGTTGTTTCATACACCAAAATTTATATGCTTCCGACCCATCTACTGCTATTTGTATTTGATATATATTAAGCGTAACCATAAGATATTTTATTATAAAATACATAAATATTATTGATTAATAATTAACCCTTTATCGCGATCCCATTATGGCGATTGAAGCAATCAATTTGCGATGTATTTATACTGATAAATTATCTATGATCAAATCAACAATATTTTATGTTTATTTCAATATGCTTTGATTTCTAATTAATTCTTTATCAATTATTATTTAAATATTAAAATAAGTTATAAAAATAATGATATTAGATTACATCGATAATGGAAAAATATGTTAAAATTTTATATATTTACTTCCTCAATTGTAGCAAAATAATAATACAATGCAAATCATATAATAATGTATCTCTACATTTTAATAATGATATTATGAATCAAGTTATTAATTTTATTATTTAATTAATTTTATTATTATAATTCTACATCCTATAATAGAAATAACAATTTACAACATAATTTCTTAATTTAATTTAATTTAATTAATATTGTTATAAAAGAATTTTCATAGATATTTTATCATCAAGAAATGTAAAGGTTTTTAAAGATTTCATATATTCTTATATAATTTTTATATATTCTTTATTCGTCATTTAGAAAATGTTATGGCACTTTTAAATTATTGATTATTTAAAATGAATAATTTAGAATTTAGCAAAACTGAAAGTTTATATTTTCTTTTCGTATTCTTTATTTTTAAATTAATAATATAATATAAAATACCAAATTTGTGTCAAATATTTTACATTTAAAATAATTCTTTTAATTCTATTAATTCTTCAGATAATTAATGCTAACGTAAATATCAAATTTGATAATATAATTTATTTTCAAAAATATGATTATTTACGATTAATAATATAAGGAAGATTTAACTGTCATGAAATAATGTCAAAATTTTTTTAATTTTTCAACGTTTTCCAAACTTCATATTCGATATTGAGGTATAAATTTTTCGCACAAACATTTTATATTGCTTTTTTGTAAAAATTATACTTTATATTATCGAAAGCATTCTATGAAAATTTAAGAAGATTATTGTAAAAACATTAATACGTGTATATACGTACTGAGAGTAAATCGAGATTATAAATGGAGAATAAGTAATTAAATTGAACCTGCTTTGTCAGTCAAAGTCCATCAAAATATTATTATCCATGAATTATAATTACTAATAATTACAAAATATTAAATAACATTAAACAAGTATGCACTTTAAAAATATTGCATGATTTTAAAGAACAGCACGCGAAAACTAGTCTCATGTTCACTTTTATTTAACGATCTATTATATACGTTCATTATCATTATCATTGAAAATGATCTACCCGGCACATCCCACATCATCAACCTCGTTCATATCCCGCAGAGTCGATAGCTGAACAACGTTTCCATGCCAGCCAAATGCGAGTCCCCATTCTCTGTAACTCTCCACAAGGGCCAAGCGTACCAACTTATCGTTATGTCGCTATCTCATCGCCTCTCGCATTCTTTATTTTTACAAATTTTATTTTCTTTTTATCTTTCTGATATTGACAGAGTTGGAGCGCTCATGAACCTGCTCTTTTCCAATTATTATTTTTCTTTTTTTTTGGAAAAACGATATCATCGGTGGTGTTTCAAGTTAATATCCATTTTACTGCTGACAACGCAAAAGTGACGAAGCAGTGATGTATTTGATAAGGGTGCTATAAAGTCGATAAAAAGATCGTTGTATTGTTGAAGAACAAAAGTAGCTTCAGAATTATTGAGTAATTATGAATTACAACTAATAATAATAAATTATTTGGCAATAAATTGAATGCATCGAGACTCAAAATAGTCGTTAACAATTTGAGCTAATGCCTTAATTAAAGAAAATTATTATAATGAACAAAATCAAGACTGAATTTACTATGTAGCTGTACTTTTAAATTTAACTCACGCTGAAATATGCACGTGTAATTAAATGTGGTAATTAAGCTGTAATCTACGACAAGAATCAGGAATTTGCCAAATATAAAATCATGTAACAAGTAAAGGCAAATCATTAGGTTATTTCGGATAAAAAATCCTGTGTCCCAAACCCCATATAAAAGCTGGAGTACTGACAGTTATTTTCATTCTTTGAACACGCGCTAACAGCTGATCCAATTAGAGAATTCTGTCGTTATCTCCCTGCGTGTTAATTCCCAAAAGCTCGTTCC